TGGAAATCTCTGGCAATAGAATCCAAGAGAAGAAGTCGGTTTCTGTTTGAGGAGACCATTTAAGGCGAGAGGAAGGTTGTAAGGGGAGGGTAGGAGGGGAGGAGATCGAGGAAGGAGAAGTTAGGGACAGGAGAAGAGGCAAGTGATCACTGTCGGCACGGACTCCAACAGAGAAATCAGAAAGAAGAGGGAGGAGGGCTGGGGAAGCAATGGCGTAATCAATTACGCTTGGTCCCCTAGTGGAGAGGTGGGTATATTCCCCAGGAATATCCTTACCCCATGTGCCGTTGAGAATGGCAATATGAAGGTTGAGACAAAGATTGATTAAAAAGATAGCATGAGGGGTAATAATCTTGTCTCTAGAGGACCTTGGTACATATTGCAGTCTGACGCTTACAGAGCTCTGACTTGCCTAACACCACACAGGGAGCCTACAGCTGAGCTGAAACTGGCCACTGTGTAGTCACACCGCTTTATACCTCAAAACGGCTTCCTTCTTTTCCTCAGACTTGTCTCCTCTCTTGAATACACGCTTTAATACAGCCTCCTGATAATCTTATCTCCCACAGCCACCCAATATAATTCTTCTCCTCAAAACTAAACTGCCTTTGGTCAATTCCTGACAACACTCCTGCCCCTCCTACCTAAATCTGTCATGTAATCCTATGTAAGGCCTGTGGGCATGGCCTATTATCACTTCTTCACAGCTGCAAGCTTTTATCTTTTTTTTTTTTTTTTTGGGTAACTCATAACATTGTGAAACTGCTAATCCAAAGAACTCTCCTGCCTTCAATAGAACACAAAAATCAGGTTGGAGCAAAACAAAGACTAAGAGTGGGAAATTCTTCAGCCTAAGGGCTGAGGACAATTTCAGATCAGATCTCAGAGCTGCATTTTACAGGTGGGCAAGGCCCTGAGGGCAAATGCAAGTTAAAGAACTATTATAATACAACTTAAAGCTCTTATGGCCAGTAAGGCGCCTTGCAACTTTTAGAATGATGAAGAAGAATATACAAAGACAAAGAAAACATGAAACAATGGTGACAAAGGGAAGGAGTTGTAACCAGTTTGGGAACCTAGAGAACAAAATGGGGAACTCTCAGATGGCCTAATACTGACCTTCCCACCCCCAACACAGATTAGCATAACTGCTGGCATCTTGGAGGCAAAGAGGCCACAAAACAGCAAGGAGGCCGGCACCCTTTACCTTGAGGGGCTTTGCAGAAGACCTTCTCCATCTTTCTCATTAAGACATCCACGAGGAAGTAGTTCCGGTATTTCTTTCCTGTGTCCACAGGTGCTATCTCTGGATCTTGGAACTTAATATTTTCACACCTGGAAAAGGCCATGGTTTTGAGATCAGTCATATAAGCAGACAAAAGACTCAGCCAAAAAAATACAGGACAACCCCAACACTCAGATTTCCGCCTCTTCTCTATTGCTACAGCAGTGTCCATTCCTTCTTTTACACTTCCATCAGCTATATCTTTTAATGTCAGCATACCATCCACAGTGAGGAAACAACCACAAAGAAATTAATGCGGAAAAGGAGAAGGATACGAGAAACATATAGATAGATTTGAAAGGCTGTGTTTCATAACAGCTTCCTTTGGGCCCTTCAGCTTAAGGAATCTGTTCTTATCTGGGCTTTGAGAAATTCTGTTTATATAGGGACAGAGGTTCCAAGAATCTCTTTTCTGTGCTATGTGCTCCACAATATTTACCTCTAACATTTCTCCAGCCTAAGTTACTACGTTTGAGAAATTCTATTCAAACAACACAGTTCTGTAACAAAGAGAATCCTCTTAACAAGGCATTGAACGGTACTGAAATCAAAACCCGTTATCTGAGCCCTATCCTGACACTACAGTGGTGCACAGCAATGCTCTGGATATTTTCAAAAACAAATACCTCACATGCTGGTCTTTAGACATGGAGTGTAAATTATAGGCTAGAGCCTGAGTGCATGTTACAACAAAGGTTCTGAACAACCCACACTGTCAACATTCAGGTTTTCAAATTTTCTGTCTGCCCTTCATTTAAGAAAGTTAAATATGATTCCAGATTTCAGGTAGGATAAATGTGGAAAACAACTGACCATAGGGGTTATATGGAGCAGAAACCCAGCCATTTTGCAGCATATACTAGAATAATTCTACTTGCACCTGACTGGTTTGATGGAGGGTTCCATTCCAGCCACTGAGAAATTAAATTATAATCCCACCATATATTTTTCCTCCAAAGGTCAACAAAGGTTTTTTGGTTTTTTTTGGACTAGAACTTCCAGAATCTCCCAGTCAGTGTCACATTGCTCGTGCTGGCTGAAGGATTCTGAAAGTCACCGCCCAGGTCCTTTCCCAAGCTCTTTTTCCATGACAGAACTCGGGGTTCTCAGCCAGCCTCCTACTGAAGTACCGAAAAGCCCTAGACCTGCTTAGTTTCAACAAGATTGACATATCGTGAGCTTACAGACCAAACCTCCAAGTGTGTTTCCCTGTGATAAGCAATTAGTGACAAAATCTAAGACTCTCAGGTTGCATCATACTCAAGAGCCTGAGGTGCAAACATCGAGAAAATAAGTCTCTCTCTCTCTCTCTCAAACCTCCTTTAATCCTTCAGATAAAAGAACTGGATCACTGTCACTGAAAAAAAATTGCTCAAAGTACAGCCAACCATCAAGTCCTATGGAGAATTTCAGATGCACCCAGGATAAACACCGAAGCACAAATCAGTGGATATTTCAAGGCAAAAGAAGCAGCATACAGAGATACAACCCACCTGACTAAAGTGCCTTTGTAGTCCTAGAAGAAAAAGAAAGGAAAAAAAATGTGTGAGAAAGACAGGCAACCTGCAAGCAAGACAAGATTTAAAATTTAAAATCCACTTTCAAAACATAGGCAAGCCATTTACCCAGTTTAGGGTAAATAGGGGACATCCAGTAATGGCTTCAAAATACAGGGGGGAAACTGTATGTCAAGTGTTCAGAAGTACTCCCTTAACGAGGATTGGAAAATAATTCCCCCCCCCAGGATTCCTTCAGAGTCTTCCCATGGTTACGTACTATTCCCCATGCACATTTTTAAGACCAGGATAGCTGAGTGGTCTCTGTTACTAATCTTTACAACACTGCCGTTGCCAAAGGCAAGGCTACCACGTGGAACTGGAAAAGGCAGTTTGCAGGACCTATGCAAATTTCGTGTCAGGTATTTGGAAACATTCCAACATTTGAGTTGCAATCTTCTACTCGCTTTCCTCGGCCTAGCTTCCTGTGCTCAGTGGAACCTATATTCAAGTCAACACATACAGGACTGAGCTATACAGTCTGTACTACACCACTCAGTCCATGACCTTTACCAATGCAGCCTTTTAAATCATGGCGTCACTGCTGCCAGGCCAATGCTGGCCAGTCTGAACCCAGGCACTCAAAATTAATTAATTACCTTGAGCAGCTGCAAACCATCCTGCTTGCTCTTGTCTTCAGCTTCAGCAATGAGGCGGCTGAGTGCAGCACCTTGCTCCTCAAGATGAGTGATGTTGCTGTTCTGTGTGCCTAGCAGCACCTCGTAGCGGTCTTCCAGCTGGTGCAACAACAATGCCTGCTCCCCGACAAGAAACTGGTGCAGCCGCTCAAAATCAGATTCAAACTCTTTCATATCAAGTTTCATCTTGTTCTGTGGGAAGGGAGTGGAAGGGGAGGAAATAAGTAAAGCACAGGGTGAGGTTGGGGCATAACTTGTTCTTGACAGTTGGCTGGCTGCTACAGAACTGAAAAACTTGCTTTGTTTGCAGAGTTTTTAATGAGCCAATACTATTTTTTCCTCCTGTTTAACCAGCAGTTTAATCAACTGGCCAAGCAGACCTGATAGGACTCGGCTGCTACAGAACTGAAAAACTTGCTTTGCTTCCAAAGTTTTTAATGAGCCAATACCATTTTTCCTCCTGTTTAAACAGCAGTTTAATCAACTGGCCAAGCGGACCTGATAGGACTTAAATGACTGGCATTCCACCGGTGTAAGGTTTGTGTAACTTGCTCTGGTTAATTGTAACCAACTGACAAGGTGCTGGAGCACATCTTGATTTCGCAATTGGTTGCACAACTGGGCATGCAACAAGTTACAGAAACTTCACACCAACACCATTAGGCTTCTGACCAATGAGCAATATTGCTTTCATTCAGAGGTTGGCAATATGTGGTCTTCCAGTGGCAACTCGTACAGATTAAGGGAGCACAGCCAGCACAATGCTGGTGCTTCAACTAGATCAGAGTCCTAAAGACTGCACATTTTACAATGAGAAGAACCCCATAGTCTGCAAATGGAGTACTGCTTTTGAGCCTTCTCTGTCATTGCTCTCAGATTCTGGAATCCTCTTTCCAAGGGAGACAAACTATGGCCCCATCTTTGTTGTCCTCCCACAAGCAGGCAAAGACCTTTCTCGTCAAACATTCCTTTAAATCAGGGGTCTTCAAACTATGGCCTGTGGGCCACATCTAGCCTACCTTGCCTTTTTCACCAGCCCGGTGAATGTCACAGGATCCACAGGCTCAGATCCCTTCCCCTAAAGACCGTGTGTGCAGGCGGGCATGTTCCTTCGACCCTCAAAAATGTGGAACATATATGATCTCATGCCAAAAAGTTTGGAGACCCCTGCTTTACATGAGTGGTTTGACCAAGGGGATTTTTAAAAGAGGGCCCTTTATACTGTGTTTTATTTCTGTTTTCTCAAAAATGTGGAACATATATGATCTCATGGCAAAAAGTTTGGAGGCCCCTGCTTTACATGACTGGTTTGACCAGAGTTTTTTTAAAAGAGGGCCCTTTATTCTGTGTTTTATTTCTGTTTTTAATACTGTTCTTATTATAATTGTTTAATATAACTGTTTAATGCTTTTGAAATATTTTAATAATTTATTATTTCATTTTTAACTTTGTTTCTTTTAACACCGTAGGTCATCTTGGACCTTTAGGAGAAAGGCAGCATATAAATATTTTGAATAAAAATATCTTGGACCTTTAGGAGAAAGGAAGCATATAAATATTTTGAATGAAAATGAATAATAAATGCATCTGGACTAGGGTAAGTGATGAACTGGAAGAGACCAAATAGTGAAGTAAAATTCTGACAAAATAGAGTCCCCATAGGTAAGTGGCCCCTTTGTCTCTGAATTTGTATGTGCAGTCTGTTCTAGAAACAGCCCCACTCCCCTTCAAAATTAGGAGAAAGGAAGCATATAAATATTTTGAATGAAAATGAATAATAAATGCATCTGGACTAGGGTAAGTGATGAACTGGAAGAGACCAAATAGTGAAGTAAAATTCTGACAAAATAGAGTCCCCATAGGTAAGTGGCCCCTTTGTCTCTGAATTTGTATGTGCAGTCTGTTCTAGAAACAGCCCCACTCCCCTTCAAAAAAGAGGTACAGTTGTACCCCGCTTTACGATTGCCCCACATTACAACGAAACCGCATTACGACGACGTTTGAATAGGGGTTTTCGCTTTGCGATGATTGGTTCCCTACTTCGGGAACCGATTCTTTGCAAAACGACAATTTTGGACAACTGATCAGCAGTTTCAAAATGGCCGCCGGGATAAATAAAATGGTTTCCCGCTGTTTTCTGGGATGGATTCCTCGCTGCACAAGCACTGAAAATGGCCGCCCTGTGGAGGATCTTCGCTGAATGGTGAGTTTCCAGCCCATTGGAACGCATTGAACGGGTTTCAATGCATTTCAATGGGCTTTTTATTTTCGCATTACGACATTTTCGTTCTAGAACGAATTAACGTCGTAATGCGAGGCACCACTGTACAAAGGTTGGAGACATAACTTGGATTCAGCTTTGCCTGTGCAGGCTTAGGTAGCCTCAGTAACTCAGAATACCCTTTATGATCTTTGGATTGTTCAACAGCTGTACCAAGATATATGGATGTGATCTATGCTTGGGAACTCAGAATACCCTTTATGATCTTTGGATGGTTCAACAGCTGTAACAAGATATATGGATATATGGTGGTCAGTGATCTATGCTTGGTTAACTTTCAAAATGGGCTACTGGAATTTATGGTACTTGGGACTACCCTTAAACACCATCCAGAAGTTTCAGCCAATGAGGCGTGTAGCTCCTAGAATATTACAGAGCTAACTGTTCTTAGGCTCAATTCAAGGTGTTATTAGCTACAAAGCCTCAAAGAACTTGGGACACCTGAAGAACAACCAAAGGAGCGTCTTTTCCTACAGCAGTCCACCCACATCACAAGGTATGGAAGTAATACTCGTCTTACTAGAGATGGGCATGACCCTCAGTTCAGAGGTTTGTAAGCACAGCACCACAGGGGCTGCATGTTCCTTTCCCCCACCTCCCTGGCTGGATTTACCATCTGGCACATGCTCCTCTCCTCCTCCTCCTCTTCAGCTCTTTGACCAGTCTCTGGTAGGAGCACGGGCTTCCCTAATCTGCCTCCTTGACAGATCGTCCATTTGGACAAAGAGGCAGGACAGGCAGGCAACCCCGTCCTCCTGCCAGAGACTGGTTGAACAGCTGAGGAGGAGGAGGAGGACAGAGTTGTGCTCCAACTGGTGAGTGAGTCACTGGCTGGGTAGGTGAGGACATATGAATCGGCAACAACCTCTGAACTGAGGTTCGTGTCCATCTCTACTTCTTACCATAGCATGACTCAGGAAAGGGCATCCTCTACTGAAGCACGCTCCCCACCCCAATCTCTCGGTGGAGATGTGTGTGCTGTTGATTTTACCATCACTTCAGCAACTGGTCAAAACCTTTCCCCTCACCATCAACTACATTAAGCAAGTCAGTATATTTTATAATTTTTAAGCTGCTCTTTATTGGTTTGTGATTGCACATTATTGGTTTTATTATGTATTTAGTGTCAAGACATGATTCCCTATACATAATTTGATGATGACCATTTTATAAAATACCAAAATAAATAAATCTCTCTCTCCAAGCCATCATCCCGAAAATGACTGAAACACCACTTATAGAACTCAAAGATCTAATTAGACTAATTCATTCTTAAAATAAGGGAGTAGTACCTAAAAAGCCCTCCTATGGTGTAAATACATGAATGGGGATCACACAATTAAGATGCTGGCAGATAAGAGATGACACCCATCGCAGCAGACACTCTTCAAAGAACGTATGGAAGGGTGGGACTGCTTAAGGTACAGAGAGTTTGTTCTGATCAAATCCTTGGACACACCAATTAGGGTTTCTAGCTCTGAGAACTTCCAGCCTGAAGATACAGTTACCATCATTTTCACATGCTGAAATAAGCTGTTTAGTACTTGAAAGGTTCTGAAAGGTTTTTCAGCAAGCATATGGTATACACAAAAAACAATACATTAACATTAAGAAGTCATTTAGGCAAGAAGACAACTTGTCCAGACCACAGAAGGATAATGAATGGAAACTCAGCATACCTTGAGTTCTGCTATCTTTTCCTCTTCACGCGACTTCTGTTTCAGAACAGTCTCCAGTTTCCTCTTCAGTGGATCCAAGTGGCCTTGGAGCTTTGCCTTAATAAAATAATTAAATACTAACTAAACTGTTTCATATATTAGCGAAGGCTTTCATGGTCGGGATTTAATGGTTGTTGTGGGTTTTTCGGGCTCTTTTTGTCTCCCAAAAAGGACAAAAGCTGATCTCACACCCATAAATACTCAACTCCCAAGCAAACTACACCAAAGCACAGAGTGCTGTCCTCTGAAGATGCCGGCCACAGAGACTGGCGAAACGTTAGGAAGAACAACCTTCAGAACATGGCCAAAGAGCCCGAAAAACCCACAACAACCATTAAAATGTTTCACTTTTAAGATGACCAATTTGCTGCTGCAAATGAATTAGGAAGACATGGCAAGTACTGTAGGATAAACAGTGACATTTTTCAGGACTTCAATTATGATTATAAGGACTAGGAGCTTAAAGAGACTTTTTTAAAAAACTCATTCTGATTCATGATTGAATCAAAGTATAATCTTCAATAATTTTAATTTCTTTGTTATCAACATTAAAGTTACCTTTTTCTGTAGTCATGATTTTAGTCTTAACATTCAACAGTAAGCCTCCTTTTCCACTTTGTTTAACCTTCCTCAAAGATATTTCAAGTCACTGTTATTTTATGATTGTACTATGGTATCATATACATATTTTAAATTACTGCTCTTTCTTCCATCAATTGTCATTCCTCCTTCATCTGATCTAATCCAGTTTTTCATATAATACATTTCATATATAGACTGAACAGAGAGCTAAAACACCCTTGTCCATCATTTTGTAACTGTAAACTTAGTTTTATGTTAAGAAAAGAAATTCATCTAGACATTAACACTGCACAGTTTAATCCTAAACCCTTTAGAGTCCAGGTGAGAACTGAATCTTCTGCACTCAGCCATACGCCCTGCCTCATTTGCCAATACCTCACTACACATTTTATAAGCAAAACAGTACATAACCACGTACTTAAAAAAAACTACAACAGTGGTCATCCTATCCCCATCCTACCTTATATTCTTGTACAACTTCTTCTAGTGGCATGACACTGTGGTGTTTGTGGTTTCGAGATTCTCTGCAGACCACACAGATGGGCTCCTCATCTGTCTCACAGAAAAGTTTGAGTGGTTCCTGGTGTTTCTCACATAGCGTTCGTTCAGCGCTTGGAACTCGGCCTGCTACTGAAGATGATGGTGCCCCAGATGAATCCCCTGCCGCTTCCAATTCCACTGTCTCCGGTGATGCAGTCGCAGGCTTGAAGGGTTGTGGATGCATCTGGCGGATGATCTGCACCATATTGGCCAGCTGAAGGTTGGGTCGAAAGTTTCGATGGGGAAAGTTTTTACGGCACTGGGGGCAAGTAAATGACTGGCGCGCAGGGGGAGGCGGCGGTGGCGTTGGGACATTATACTCTGCATCTTCCTCCGTCTCTTCCTCCTCATCCATTACCTCCTCCTCCTCTCCATAGTTATCAAAGAACAAGTCACTCCCCATGGCATCATCCCACATCTCATCCGATCCAGGATCCTCATCCCAGTAGTCTCTATCATCTCCTTCATCCCACACATCGTCATCGTCACCATCATACTCGTGCCTAGAGACATCCTCTTCCTCCTCCTCCTCTTCCATACCCCCATCGTCCAAGTAGTCATCATCCTCGAGATCATCCTCTTCATCTTCGGCGTCTTCTTCCCGTGGGAGGTCGTCTATGCCTCCCTCCTCCCCACCTCCATCCTCAGAAGCAGGCCCATAGCCTCCATCCGAACCAGAGGTCCCCACCTCCTCTCCTTCCTCCGCGGCTTCGGCTTCCTCCTCCTCCTCCTCCTCCCCTCCTTGACCTTCGCTTGCGCCCCACAACTGCGTGATGCAGACGCGGCAAAAGTTGTGGCCACATCCGATCGACACCGGGTCGATGAAATAGTCTAAGCAGATGGCGCAGACCGCCTCCTCGTGGAGGGTCGTCACCGGGTTCAGGGGGCCCCCATAGACACTCCCTGCAGGCACGGAGGCGGCGGCGGCGGCGGCCATCGGGGCCCCGAGTCCTCCGAGGGGTCCGCACCCCCTACTTTTACCCTACACAGGGCTCCCACCACTACACCTTACTGCCCAAAAGGCTCCCTTCCTGGAGGGAAGCGCCTTCCTCCCCTTAACACAGGATGCTGCTCTGCCCCGACCCCCCACACACACACACTCTTCACTGTCCCAGGACTTCCAGCCCCTTCTCTTCCCTCCCTCCCCACCACCGGACCCACAGGGGGGGGGACCCCCGTCCGCCCCCACAGGGACTGGGAAGGGAGAAGTGGGGCGCCTCTTTCCTCTTTTCTGCCGGCGAAGCGGCTTTCCTTCACTTCCCCTTTACAGGGAGTTACTTTCCTCTTTCACCCCCTGGCCGCCGCCGCCGCCCCCCCGGGTTCCCGCTAACCACGATTTCCCGCTCCGGCCTCTTGACGAACTCGCCCCGCCGGCTTCTCGGGAGCAGGAACCGCCTCGAATGCCCGGACGGAGCGTCCGCCGAGCACCTTAACTCCCACTACCCAGCCAGGCAGCCACGCTACGCAGCGGCCTCTCTATGGTGCTTAAGAACGCCTTCCCACCGGAAGCGGCGAAGGAACTGTCTTTTGGGTCCCCATGGCTCGTCTCTATGATGGGAGGACCCCTGAATGAAAGAGGCGGGGGAGGAGGGAAGTCGCCTTCATCCCTTAACCGAAACTTTGTACATAGTCGGGGCTAAGAAACTATAGCTGGGCCTCAGGCAAGCTTTAACAACGTCCTCAACGTAATCACAACGGAAGTCATTGTGATCACGGAAGGGAATGTCCGGCCCTGATCCTTCCCGGAAATGCAGCGGAAGGCTGGAGGCCCTTTCTATCATATCAGTCTCTATGGTTCCTGGGGCTTCCACTTTAAGTAGGAAAGAGTGGTTTTTTTAACGTAATGAACTCTGCGCTTACTTTATATTTTTCCGGTGTATTCGCAAATGTGTAAGCTCAAGGATAGCAGATAGTTGTCTCCGTATCACACGGCAACACTGTGAAATATCTTGTTTACACAGTTACTTACATAATATTTATATTATTCCCCATCCCGTGACAACAATTTGTTGGAACGACATTTGATCGAAATAGTCTGCCTCTATGCGTTGAATCTGGGCAAAGAGAAAGAAGGGAAACGGGAAGAAGTTTCCCCCTTGACTGAAAACCCTTTTCCTTTTAACGTTTCCGTCCAACGTTTTTCAAAATTAAGTCATCGTGAGGCAGAAGAATCCAAATGTAGTTAACAGCTAAAACACATTGTCCAACCTGTTGTGGCGACATATCAAATAATAATAGTTTTGCAATTGTTCCTTGTAGGAAGGTTAAGACTTAACACAAAAAGAATCCTCAAAATCGTCTTCAGCTCAGTAGTCTGAAAAATGCTTCTGGTCTGGCTGAGCAGTTGCAATGTGCTATGTGGAAAATAAAACAAAAAACCCAAAGTCACCAAACAAGAAAGGAAATTGTTCTGTCCTATAGTTAACACTGCCCATCTTCCTGTCTTTTTTTTCGGGACCAAATTTGCAACAATTTGGGAGAGATGTATAGAAGTTCCTGAGTTTTGTGACACCACTCCTTTTGCTGCTTGTTGCTGTTGTAATGTGACATCAAGTTGCTTCAAACTTGTTGCAACCCTATGAATGAGGGATTTCCAAAATGTCCTGTTATCAACAGCCCTCCTCAGCTCCTGCAGATTTAAAACTGTGGAATTCCGAATTTAGAGAGTCAACCTATCTCATATTGGTACTGTATTCCTCTTTTCCTGCTGCTTAGAAATGATTTGATGGCACACAATCATACTATCTGTTCAAAAGAGGGAGGGCAAAAGTCAGTAACACCCAGGAGGAACAGGTCTTAGTAGGCCTTAGTTGGTGTCCTACAATGTCCGTCTCTGGTGCTAGTCTCCCAGAGAAGTACTTATAACTTAAAGCAGAAGAGAAAACAAAATAGGTATGTATTTATGTATATTTAATATCACCTTTCTCCCTATTTATATATTATTTTACTTCTATCCCGCCCCTCTAGACAGAGTCTACTCAGGGCAGCTTACAAACAGTTATAAAACATCATAAGTATAATCATCTAAAATCGTCAATGTAAGCATCAAAATATATCATAAAAACAATCACATGATTAAATCAACAAATTTAGAAGTTCAAGATGGAGAAAAAGAGAACTAAAAAGAAAAAAGAATCAGGTACTGACTGGAGGGAAGGCCTGCCTAAAGAGCCTTTAAATGACTCTTTAAAAAGACATGAGGTGGCTCACAGTCAATTAAAACTACACAATAAACATAATTAACTCCATAAAATATAACATTATAAAATTCAACAAATAATGATATTTAAAAACACTATTTCAAATATGTAAGAACATACATCCCTGAAATCAGTAAAAGCATCACTCTATAATGCTGCCACTTGCGCAAGTAAGTTAAAAGTTTGCCTAAAAACCGGAAGGCCTTTGCCGGCCAGCAGAAGGAGAAGGGGAAAGGGCGCCAACCTGGCTTCTCAGGGGAGTGTTATTTCATATGCTGGCAGCAGCCACTGAAAAGGCCCTTTCTGGCTTGTGAGGTCAGTGGGATCAAGAAGGAGCCTCCTTGGAAGATTTTGAAAGCTGGTGTAATTCATATGTGGAGGAATGCTTTCCTTCAAATAATCTGGACCCGGTCCATATAGGGCATTAGAGGTCATGACCAGCACTTTGAATTGTGCTCAGAAATGCCCTGACAACCAGTGAAAATGTTGTTATATGAGAGTTACATGCTTCGTATAATTAGTGCTAGTCTAGACAATGTCTACTCCAGTTCACAAGGTTCATCCTGACCCAAGCCTACAGTGTTGTTGTTTTAACTGTCAGTTTTGGTATTAACTATGTCTGGGGGAACTGAGTGACTGATTGCTGCTTAAAATGTCTTTGGCTTGCACTGAGTTTTCCATAGAGGAATGGAACACCTGTGCCCGTCAGGGCTTAAACAGGTGAGCTCTGATACTCCTTTCCTGAGCGTGGGTAGGTCGTCATGTTAAAACAAAGCAAATCAATAATCCAGATGGCATTTTAAGGTGGCACCTTTAAAACTTTTTAAAAAAATCATCAGGGGGTAGCCATCTTAGCCTGTTGCAACAAAAACAATACAAGTCTTACATCACCTTTTTTTTGTAGGCTATAACTCTTTTCTCTGCCACATTAGAAATTGTCACCAGCTTCCACTGGCTTATGTCGAATAAAACCAGCCTGTTAATCTAAGTATCCACATCTATGTTGTTACTGATGTAGTAATGTAGATCATATTGCTTCTGTATATATCCCAGTAGCAGTAATTTGCTGTAAACTGAAGATATTGGTGACATAGCCCTGTTCTTCTCAGAACTACTTGATTTAATGGTGATAGAAGTTCCTCAGTCGTCCTATTTTAATCTTGGGGCTTCCTAATTTAGGCATTTCTTTTACTATCATTTTAGTTAGGACGATACATTGAACGTTCTATTGTCATTAATTTGTATGGAAAGAAAAATACAGGAACAGAGGGTTCATCAATGTCATCAGTGACAGAATCTTGTGGCTGATGTGGAAGGTGGGAGTATCAGCTGGTTTCTGTAGTGTAGTGGTTATCACGTTCGCCTCACACGCGAAAGGTCCCCGGTTCGAAACCGGGCAGAAACAGCGAACTTTTTGTTTTCTTTATATTCTTTCAAAAAAAACCAACCCCATTCATCACACCATTTCTCTTATTTATTTTATCTCCCAGCTACGAAATATTTATCCACAAAAGATTACTGCGCGCACATGAGACGCAAAAGCCTCATCCGGACAACTGACCAGGCTTAAAAATAGGCAGTGTTTCAGTAGTGAAGATAAATATCGATAGATGAGCTGTATTTGGGTTATTATAATTCGTGCTAGATTGTTGTAGTACCAAAAATTAATCCAAGCATATAGAAGGAAGGACCTAAAGTTGCAAAGCTTACGTATCAAGTATGATAATTGTAGCAATAAAGACCAAGTGCCCGGCTAGCTCAGTCGGTAGAGCATGAGACTCTTAATCTCAGGGTCGTGGGTTCGAGCCCCACGTTGGGCGAAGCTTTTTAGCTTTTTTTTATCAGTGTTTTTTAATTACTACTACTGTGTTTGGAAGGGAAGTAACCCAAAGGTACTATGATGAAGTGGACTTTGTCCAGAAATGATCACATTAAAAATATTTACGTTAGTCTTTAAGGTGCCGCCACGTTTTTGTCTTTTTAAAATGTTTAATATTTGTTTTAGTTTTCACCTAAGTTACCAAAAACCCCAGACCCCACGAAAACGGGCGTGTTCACTCCACGACGTGCACGATTTTCACCAGTGATTTACTGTTGTAAGAAGAAATTTTGGATGATTTAACCTAGCCTTCCCCAATTCGTTCTTCAATAGCAAATTTCCGATCCTGATTGCCTAAGGGTGTCATACTTTCCCCTTCTTAGTCACATACACTCCCATTGAAAAAATAGGTACGCTCTGTGTGTGTGTGTGTGTGTGTGTGGGCTTCAACTCCTTTTAGCAGCCTTTCATTTTTTTGCCAGGGCTCAGAGCAGGAACATAGATCGGGACTGAGACGTAGCGCTGGGATATAAAAGCAAAGAGTGCCTCTGAGCATGGGCCAAGTGATCCTCGAACACTTAGAGGTGCTGCCATTCAAGAATCAAGGGAAAAAGCATTTCAGAGGCGATCGTATAACCTACAAGGGTGCTCGAGCCCCTTGGTTTACAGTCGATGTTGCGGTGAGGCGGCGATTTCAGACCCTCTAGCCTTTAATGCAGTTTATTTCCCTTTCCTTGCAAATGTGAATGGACCAGCCGTGCAAGTGCTTGGGGGACCCGCCTGCGGGATTCTTCTATGGAACAAGAGGGGACCCACCCC